CTGGTTTCCCTTGACGATGTCGCAGGCTCGTGAGTTGCATCCACCAAGACGCTGCTCTGTCCCAAAAACGCGTGGCGACCAAAGCAACACGTTTGTCTTCCGACACTTCTTTGAACTTGAGAACGGCCTCAACCGAAGCCCACCAATCTAAAACCTCCGAACCGTCCACCCCCCAGAAAACTCTGGAATTTCTACACGAAACCCCTGCTCCCAATGTGATTCATCGCCCCCTTCTATCGGGCGTCTACCATCACGTCGGTCATATCTCTCTCTCTCAAAGCCGCCACGATCGACTTACGCTGGCCCTGGCTGAAATTCATCATCGCGACCACGCCAGGCCCGGTGCAACAACTCAATATCGTCCGAATTTGAATCGGCATCCCTGCGCGGAGGAGCGCGTTCCCGACGTCTCATCATAACCGCGGAAACCCACCGTCGCTCTCCTCCTCCCAGGCTATGTCCCGGCATTGTTGTCGCCCGTCGCGCCACCTGTTGTCGTCTCTGCCGAACCCTTGCGTCGCGATATCGTCCATGGTTGGCCAACGATTATTATCTTTGTGGCCGTGGACACTCAGCTGGACTTCAGTAGCGCGTACCACCCGCAGACAGACAGTTAGACGAAGGTGGTGAATCGGTCATTGGGCAACCTTCTCCGTTGCCTGGTGGGCGATAATCTTCGTAGTTGGGACCAACGGTTGAGGCAGGCCGAATTTGCGCATAATTCGGCAGTTAGTCGTGCCACATGTTTGTCGCCATTTGAGATTGTTTTTGCGGTTCGGCCCCGTGGCTCGTGCGACCTGTTGGCGTTGCCGGCTGTGGATGCGGTTGATCGTCGGGCCGTTGACCTCATCGCCGATCTAAAGGCGACGCACGAGACGACTCGAGCCCGGTTGGAGGCTACGACGGCATCGTACAAGAAGCGCGCGAATCTTCACCGTCGGCATGTGGAGTTCGACGTGGGTGATTATGTTTGGGCCGTTTTGACGAATGACAGGTTTACGGCCCACGAGTATAATAAGTTGTCGGCCCGCAAGATTAGACCAGTTGAGGTGGTTAAGAAGATCAACTCGAATGCTTATCGTCTACGTCTTCTGTCTCATGTTCGTACGTCTGACGTTTTCAACGTCAAGCACTTGCTACCATTTGTTGGCGACAATTCGGATGAAGACGAGACCGGTTCGGATTCGAGGGCGAATCCTCCTCAACCAGGAGAGGATGATGAATACGAGACCGCCATCGCGTATTTGAATAAATATGACCGGCTCCAGGTTTAGTCTTCTTATTTATCGTTATTATTAGTACTCTTTTCTTTCCATTATTGAATAATCTTGTTAGGAAAATAAATATTTTAGCAGTGGCAGGATTAGGATTCCTTATTTTCCTTTTCTTATTTATCTGATGTTGCGAACGAGGAAGGGTAGATTAATATTGAATTGAAAACAGATCGTTCTATTTCACGAGAGAGTATCTCATCTTCTTCCCCATTCGTATATTGCTCTACATCACAATCAACAATAACAGTTATTATCGAAACCTTTACCACTTTCTATTCGATTGGTTTTTGTGTCCTATAAAAAAAAATAAACAACCTACAACGATTATAACCTACCATGTGGAATTCATAAGTATTACCACAACAAACATTCTGACAATCTAATTTTACTATCTATCACCGTAGTCATGCCTCTGCGTGCACAAATAGCTGATCTTCTTCAACAGTACCCCAAGTTACTTGTAACTTATGGTGCCAATTGATATAAAATTGTAACAAATGCTTACTTAAAATCCCTATCATAGTAAAATTCATCAAGTTCATAATTAGAAAAATCTCATAAGACTTATGTGCCTTTTACAATTTGATAACTTACGATGATAAAAGTTGGAATCAATTATTTTGTCAAAATAGACATGCAAGAGGCATACATGATCGAGCAACCGAGCCTTGTATTTATCAGGTTTCTTATCATAGCGCCTCAACAACTGAAGCCCAATTCCCGTGATCAGCTTTGTGGTCATATAAGTTTCCCATGGAATATCCCTTCTCATAATCTTACCAAAACAAATAAAAAAGGAGATTTGAAGAAAAAACCATCATAGCAAATAGGAAAAAAAATCAATTTCACACGCACACACAAATAAAAAATGAAACTTTAACGAATCAAACAATACCCAATAGGCAGGCCAACATAACATAATTTTCTTCTTGAACAAGTGACAAATTTCCCTTTACAAGATCAGCGCCAAAACAAATGATTAATTTGTTAAACATATTGGCTTCAGAATGTGAAAGTGAGGCCAGCAATTGTTAGCGGGAACGAGTAAATCAACGTGTACAAGTACATAGCAGATGTATGGGTAACATATGCACACCTGGTTGGTGGAAAGCTCGACTTGATCCATGGCGATGGGCATTGGAATGGAAGGAGATTGAGCAATGGATTGATTGTTGCGACGGGTCGAAATCTAGAGAGAGAAAATCCGACTCTGGAGATAGAGGGCGATTAGCATAACCAAAATTAAAAATATGCCAAAAAGAAAAAAATGAAATTGGATATGTCACGGGTCATTATTCAACCAAGGTCGTGTGGTAGAGTGGGTTTATTTGAATTTGTAGCCCAATAACAATACAACAGTACAATTATTAGGGGGAAATTAGAAAGGAAATTTTACGTTAATACGAAGTTGTTACTATCTTTCTGCAATTTTATATTGCCAATAGAATTGTTCTAAAACTATCTTTATCGGTGACCTCTCCCATTGGATCCCCAATTTAAAAGCAATAAAAATGAAAAAAAAAAAAAAAAAAGTTGGGCAATAAATTGGGCGACCCAGGTCACATTGTGACTTGGGTCGTAACTTCCTTTTTTTTTTTTTTTAATTTCATCCTCTTTAGATAAAGGAGAGAGGATTGGGACACTTGTCCCATTCCTATTGGTCATTATAAATATTATATGTTTAGATAACTATAACTCAAATTATAGATATTATTTTATATTAAAAAAGTAAAATAAAATATACCAAAATTCTTATTTTTTTTCATTCTCTATAAATAGAGACTACTCTTGATATATTTTGGAGCACAATTGAAATTATTATGTCGGATTGAATTGTAGATAAAATAATAAAAAAAATGTTTTGTATATAATATTTAATAAATAAGAAATAAAAAATAAGATAAATATTATATTTGGTTGGATTGGGTTGAATTGAGGATAAAAATATGTAAATTGTTAAAAGTTGAGTTATGTAAGTGAAGAAGAGAGAAATATTTTTTTATTATTGGATTGGGTTGTGGATAAATATAGTGTATACGAGGTCATCAAATTAAAGGAAACAAAATACAAAGATACGTGGAAATTAAAAACTCCCAACATCCACTCACTTTAAAAAAAATAATTTGTGTTGATGGAGATTTGGGTCCCTTGTACTTTACATTTTAGTAATTCAGACTCCCGTTGCAGCAGCTTCCCTAAAAGCTGTTAGCTGTTAAAAAATATGATATATGAATACTATGATATGATCCTAGTGTCTTACACACATCATGAAAGAAATATCTAGAATTGAATAAAATACTCCACACAGGACCAAGTATGAATATTTAGCCAACTGTTAGTCCAGAAAATATCGACATGATTATTACAGACCCACAGATACCATACACAAACTGTCGAGACTTATTTCATGCGTATGAGTAAATACAAGATAATTCGTTCAGACATGAACACCCAAGGCAAAACCGTCATCCGGTCCACTTCAAATGCCCCAAACACAAATAAATGAATAAATTATAGGCCTGCAAAAAACTGGCGTACTTTGCCCCCAGAAATAGCCTCTGAATGCAGAGCAAGGCATTTTTGGTGACCTCTGCATTCTCGTGGTTCATCAATTTCATCACTCTTTCTTTGGCTTTGAGGTCTGTCACAATGATACGACCGGCCGCATGGTACTGAATGAATTGTGAGAGGTCATAGCAGGCAACAGCAAGTGTCCGTGGGTCGGTGGACGTGTCCAAAATTGTGATGAGGACCCTAAGGATCTGCAGCAAAGCAAAAATAAAAATTAATAAAGTTCTTGCTAAAGGATGAGAAAAGAAGTTCTAAGCACATGGACAGATTTACGATTTTTTTTTTTTCCGGGTAGATAGGAAAATGAGGACTAGACTGAAAAAGAGTCGATATGGATAAGATCATAATAAAAATAACTCTAATGGATTTATTGAAAATGATTGTTGATTTCAGTTCAATTTGGTTTGGCTCATTGGAGAGAAGTCCAATCAAGAAGAGAGGGAAACGAATAGTATAAAAATTAATGACTTCTCGAAAACAGAAAACGATAAACCAACAGAAATTTTTGTTACAGTTCAGATAAGCAAATAGTGGCACCTAGGGCAATCTCCCAAATATGATAACCCAGACACCAAGCAATGCAATTTGCCCAACTCTCTTTTCATTATTGCACAAGATATACAAGTTCATATTGCAGTTGGTATAGTGACAGCAGTTTGGCAGAAATACTCTTGCAGTAGTGATCACAACCACATAATTATGAATGAATGTAAATGGTACCTGAAAATCATGCTCCTCGAAATTAGCGATGTTGTCGCGCCAGAATATTGGATCTTTATGCATGGGCGACCAATCAAGATGTCCAAGGAGGACTTCCTGCTTGTACTTGTCAAAAGAACTTAGCTGCTTAATGTTGTCTTTCAATCCTTCTTCCAATTGATTCAGAGCTTCCAGCAGATCCTGTGAAGATGGAAGAAAATGTATGACTTGGAGAAATACATGGTAAATCAGTGAAGAAAATCGGGTCATGTCCAAGCATAGATGACAGACTGCCCATAAATTGGCTAAAGTAAAACCAGTATAACACATAAAGCTTATATTTAAGGCAATTGAATAAGGTTACACTACAGTTGCACTATAACTTGGATTTCAAATAAGCACATATATCGAGGAAAGACTTCTTCATTAATTCTTTAATCCACAATGGAAGATTAAGGAGAATAGTAAAGTAAGTGAACTTAGCTAAGAATTTTGTTCTTTCCAAGAGATTGATGTTGCAAACATATGAGATGATTCTTACACAATTTGCCAAATGGAAACTGAGGCACATTAAAATGGCTTACTGGAGAAAAGTAATGTACAGGTGCCTTCTGGCCTATCTAAATGAGAAAATTCCCATAAAACATCTGTTTGGCTGTACTCCTGGTAGTATTTAGAGATGTAAATAACAATTTCACTACTGAGATTTCCGGCTTACTGTTACATTTACATATTTTCAGCAAGAAACAAAGGACCGATATCGAGCACCACATAGAAATGTTATCTCACCTCATCACTCCATGCCTGAGCTTTTAGATTCTGAACAAGCTGCGGCAGTCCCAGGTCTACCATCTGGGCACCAAATGTGCCTTTGTGCAGCAAATTCTTGAGAGTTAAAATAACTACCCTAACAACCTACATAAGTTGATAGAAAGTAATTCTAAGATGGACATTTGACCTAAGGAATTTTTCCACAGAGGATTATTTGTATATGCAAACTGAGGATTCGGCAGAAGTATCGCCAACACTAAGGGGTTAACTGCCGCCACAACTAAAATATAAATGGGTAGCAATCCAAAAAGGTGATAAAAATTTATCTCAACATATGAAGGGCCCTACCTTTTCCTTTGTGGATCCCTTGACAACTTCTATCAACCTCGGCAAGGATCTAGAAGTGGCCAAATACTCAACTGCAGGCTCATAGTATGAGAGGAGCCACACACAAAGGCAGGTTTCATACAAGAGCTTTGGTCAGATAAAAAGTGAAAGTTAGAAGCTGTAGTGGCAAATGATCCAACACTACGAAATCAAAAAAAACAAGGTCATGGAAACTTCACATCAATATAGGATATGATTATGACATACACTATAATCAACTCCAAAAAGATTTCATGCATGCATTTGCGGAACTAAGCAAAATATTATTCCACCTAGTAATCATGAACTGAGGTTACCTGGATAGATTGTTGAGTGGATGCTGGAGAAATAAGATGAATGAGCAACTTCACTCCGTCTGCTTGAACAAATGAAGATCGAACCACAGGTTCCTTCAATAAAGTTGCAAGGCAATTAACAGCAGTGGGAATACTGCGGCTAGGATGAGATGGGTTCCTCAGCTGTAAAAATTAAAAATGCATAAGCATGAGACCTCCCCACAGTTAGAGTAAAGAAAAAACTGTCCAGGAGTTTATTAGTTTAGATAGATATAATATGCCCAATATCTTATTGCTGACTCTGACTTTAACAAAAGCTAACAGCCTCCTGATACAGTAATATTGTCTAAAATTAACCTCACGTCATTTGGCTTCTGCTCTATTTAATAATAGGCAATAGAAAATGCCACTATATGGAGAAGTGGAATCCAAATCCATTGACTCTGCAAAATTGATATACATATGGAAAAATGGTTTATGTGTACATATATTTTATTATTCTATATCTGACAGGCGGGTTACTACAAGTAAATTCTAAGTGTTTTGGCATGAGCATTTCTTATGTTTGATAAGCTTAAACATCTATGTCCACATTACAAACACATGCATAAACAAGAACAATCCTTTGTAAGACGTTCCCTTTCCTCTAACCTCAACAAAACTAAAAAGATACAGAGAGAAGAAAACTAAACCTGTGAGCACAGCCAGTCAACCAGTGCCTTTAAAACGTCATCAACAGTGGTGATATCCTTCTTCAACTTTGACGCCCCATTGGCATGGGCACCATCATGAGATCTTGGCCCTCCACTGCAATTAAAAGATTTAGGAAATTAGACAAACAAATAAATTCAGTCATATTCCAAAGGAATGGGAGTGATTCGCACGTTACTATCAAAGAAAGTATCTTGCAGCTCTTCTCTTGGATAAACCAGTTACCTTTCCAAAGCAACTTGAAAAGGGAGTGATCAGTCATCTATATTAAGTTCATGCTAGCGACCAAGAACAATAAAATATAAAATTCATCAGTATTTTTACAATTAAATTGGATAACAACTCTGCCAGGATTGCAGCACTAACTGCTAAGAAATATTTAGTACCTAAAAGTTACTGTCATTTTATTTTTCAAGCCGCAAGTCTGCTTTGAAATCAAGGTATTTGAATCAAAAGTTGCACGCACAAGAAACCTATCCGCTGATAACCCTACTTGAACATTAGTAACTATGAAATGCAACATTAGGCTAGATCATTGCCTTAGGAAAGGCTCATATGTATCCTCGCTGGAGAGAGACTTATCATGAAATAGCCTTGCTCTTTTAGGATTAGCTGCCATGCATGGAGAAAGGAAAAGCAGAAAATGAGGTCAGCAACTTAAAACAGTACAAGTTAAGTACAGTCTATCCAACTTGTCCGCTTACCTGAAAGCATTTCATCGATCAGAGCTAAAACATACTCTACAGTTTCTTCCTTTAATATGTCACGCAATATGCTAACAAAAACACGGATGTAAGCTGCACCATCCTGTAACAATTATAAAGTTGCCAACAGTAACAGTCATTATCAAAACCTTTACCACATTCTGTTTGATTGGTATTTGTGTCCTATAAAAACAAATAAACAAGCTACAACGATTATCACCTGCCATATGGAATTTGCAAGCACACCTAACATGCTGCCAATTTAATTTAACTATCTATCATCATAGTCATGCCCCTGCATGAACAAATAGCTGATTTTCTTCAACAATATCACATGCGACTTGTAACTCATGGTGCCAAGAGATATAAAAAATTGTAACAAATGCTTACTTAAAATCCCTATCATAGTAAAATTCAATAAGTTCATTACTACATATATCTCACAAAACTTCCGTGCCTTTCACAATTCCATAACTTAATATGATAAAAAGTCGAATCCTTTGACACAGATACAAGTTAAAGGACAAACTAACAACAATCAGCACCTTCCAGTGACAATGAATCAAATGCTTTAACAAAATAGACACATATTAATGCAAGAGGCATACATCATCGAGCAACTGAGCCTTGTAATTATCAGGTTTCTTATCATAGCGCCTCAACAACTGAAGCCCAGTCCCCGTGATCAGCTTAGTGGTCATATAAGTTTCCCATGGAATATCCCTCCTCAGAACCTTGCAAAAAAAAAAAGGATATTTGGAAAAATCAGCATAACAATAAAGAAAAAATCAATCACACACACAAAAAAAAAGAAAAAAAAAAGGTAACTTTAATGAATCAAACAATACCCAATAGGCCAACATAACATAATTTTCTTCTTGAACAAGCGACAAATTTCCTTTTACAAGATCAGCGGAAAACCAAAATGATTGATTTGTTAAACATACTGGCATTAGAATGTGAAAGTGAGGAAAGCAATAGTTTGCGCGAACGAGCAAATCTACGCGTACTACATAGCAGCCGTATGGGTAACATATGCATACCTGGTCAGTGGAAAGCTCGACTTGATCCATGGCCATGGGCATTGGAATGGAAGGAGATTAAGCAATGAATTGATTGTTGCGACAGATCGAAATCTAGAGAGGGAAAATCCGACTCTGCAGATAGAGCGCGATCAGCATAACCAGAATTAAATTTGCCAAAAAGAAAAAGGGAAATTTGATATTGGGCTCTGGTTTGAATGGGGCGACCGTCGCCGACCAAACAAGGAAAAATCTGAAAGAATTACAGCGAGAAGCTTTTCAATTGATCGGGGCTGACGTAGATAGAAGCAATTAATCGTAGAAAATTAATAAGTTATTGTACTAACAAGCCAATCTGCCTGACTAGAAGCTTTAGCGGACGCTGAGGTTGAATTTGGGGGAAAATTTTGGGATGTGAATTTGGAAATAACCCACGTTGTTTGTTTTATGGTCTGTCTTACATATAGTAATAAACCTATGTTACCAACATATAATATACAAAGAGGGGAGATGATACAGAACCATTCCGTCGAGGTTTGTAACCGTTAGATCAACTATCCTCGACGGTTACATGTTATAAACCCTGATGGAATGATTCCATTATGGGACCGTAGCATTTCCCTACAAAGAGATGACTAAAGTGATGACTCCGTCGGTCTTAGTCATTCCAATGTGATGACAGCATTGGTTCGCAACATAAAAAATAAGATCTAAGCAAATTGAGTTAAATGACAGCATTTGTTCGCAACATAAAAAATACTCCCTCTTACTTTTAATATATGTCGTTTTGAGAAGTTGCACATTAATTAAGAATATTTTTTTGTCAATAATAACCTTATTTAATGAAGATAGAAATGAGTGTTTTGAGAAAAAGTGAAGAGTGAATATGACAAGATGTAATGTATTTATTAGCTGAATGAGGGTAATAATGGAAAAATATGTACAAAAGATCTAAAACGACATTTATTTGGCAAATAGTTGATAAAGCTAGAATGACATTTAAAAAAAACAGGAGGGAGTAAGATCTAAGCAAATTGGGTTAAATGACAGCATTGGTTCGCAACATGAGTATGTCTCATGATAATCAAATGCACAAGTTTAGAGTGACACACTTAGCCATCTTATCTAAAGCCCAAATGATGATAGGCAATCATGTCAAGCTAAGAATACCCCTCGATAGAATACATCACATCGGAAGTCAAACATAAACAACAGATACAATGAAGGAAACACAACTCAATAGGCCAACCTCCGAGATACAAAATCCATCAGAACCTAAATTGATACCAGTTCATGATCACACATTCGATGGTGACAAAATGAATCCGAAAATCAAAAGGTACCATAGGAAAAATATTACTCAGGTCATGGAGATCTAATATACGTCAATACAAACATGGCGCGTCAACAGATGGACATGTCCCACGGATCCACATTAAAATAGAAGCATCTAGTGAAAAGATCCAAGAATAACCCCTATGAGCAATCAAACTCGATTTAAACAGTTAATAATGCTTACATTCATAACGATCAACGAATTATATATTGACATTTCAGATCCAGAACGGAATTCATTGGCAGAATAAGTAGATCGTTACCTGTTTGTAGGCACGGAGATCGGAGCCGCGGAGAACGTTTTTCGCGTTGTCGTTGAGTTATGTAGCTCAGAATCAATGGATTCCGTCGAGGGCAGTAGAGTGGAGTCAGTATATATCTGGGAGCAAATGTGAGATCTGCAAATTCCCAAGCTTCGCTTGCTCGCCTGCTTTTATTCAATATAACAACACAGCGTTTTTAGTTACTCTCTAAGTCGCACTTCTGTCGCGGAGTTCAATGATTAAGGTGGGAGGGACAACTTTAACGTATTTTTTTCTATATTTTAAATAAATATCTAAATCATATACTACTATTAAATAAATCTCTTTTGTATGCTAATAATAAGAGTATATAATATTATATCTTTGTAAACAATAATTTGTAAATAATATTGGAGACATTTAAATTTTTAACAATCAAATGGTGTGACAAGTGTGAAACTTTCTGTTTAAAATAAATATAACTAGTTTTTTATTTTACTTGAAGGTCAATTTTTTGAGAATAAAATAAATTATTAGTTCTTTTATGATCATTATTAAAGAGAAAATATTGAAAAATGGTGTAATTATCTCTTGTAGATAATCTATACTTATATAATAAGGTATCTTATTTACCAAATTAAGTAGGTAAATAGTCAACGTAATTAATGCATTGCTATTTATATCCAGAATTTTATTTAATTATTTAATTTATTTGTCCTATATCCCATAAAATCGGTTTAACAAAAAAAAATCTCAAAACATCCGGTAAGTAAAAAAATTACGTAAAATTTTTATTAAAATAAAAAAGACGTTATTTATTTGTCTTATTTCATAATATCATCGATTTAGTCAAAAGAAATCCCATAAAATCGGTGAAGTCAAAAATTTTACGTAAAGTCTATCTATATTAAAAAAATATAGATTCAAAATCCTATATCCAATTCCTTCTTATATATACGTATATAAAGAGTCATCCTATTTATTAAAATTAGTAGCAAAAAAATCAGAAATTCTATGGAGCCCATCAGGGCACCATAACCCATGCCACAATCTTATTTGTCACATGAGGTGGCTTTAATAATTTTAATTGTAATATCCAACGTGGCATTATTATGTGTCTTTAAATATAATTTTGCAGATAAATTTTTATGCTAAAATTAAGTTTTTATTAGTAAAATGTTTTAGTGAGATAATATATTAATTATTTTACAAGTTAGCCCTAACATGCTAATATTTAATGTTCTGGCTAAAAAGACAACGCTGGTTAAAAGATTTGGAAAAAAGCTTATAAGCCAATTATTTTTCAGACTTAACGTTGATTAAAAGAGGTAGACAATAGATAAACCCTATTACTTTTTAGACTTAAACGGACAATACTGTGAGAATAACTCATTTAATATATCTGTCAGATGTGGAAAAAAGTTTATAACCCTATTGTTTTTTAGACTTAACGTTGATAAAATATGTAGAAAATAAATAATAACCCTATTATTGTCTAGACTTAAACGGACAAGGTTGTGAAAATAAAAGTTTATAACCCTATTGTTTTTTAGACTTAACGTTGATAAAATATGTAGAAAATAGATAATACTAACCCTATTACTTTTTAGACTTAAACGGACAAGACTGTGAAAATAATTAATTAAATATATATATCTCGTGCATCGCACGGGGTACGTACTAGTGATGATTAAGGAGATAAGATTAGAAATTAACCAATCAAATAAATTTATTCTTTTCCAACACATACTCTCTCCCTACACTATCCTTATCCCCAACTCAACCCAACCCAACTCAACTCAACTCAACCCAACAATTAAAAATTATTTATTTCTCCTCCACCTACACAACTCAATCTTCCAACCCAATTTATCTTTAAAAATTACAATTGTGTTCTAAAATATATCAAGTGTAGTTTCTATTTGTAGAAAATGAAAAATACGAATTTTAATATATATTTTTATTTTTTTTAGAAACAAAAAGAAAAAATACATTTATCCAGTAAAAATGGGACAAATGTCCCATTTCTGCACAAAATCCGGTCGCGACCTGAGGTCACAATATTGTGACATTTTCTCTTTTTTTAAAAAAATTTTTTAATTTTTTTTTTGTTTATTCCCGTGACCCAAGGAGTGGGTCACGAATAAAGGTGGTATAAAGTATGAAAGATAAGTTTTATTAAAGATAAAAGAGATAAAGAATTCGAAGACGAAGATTCAAAACAAGAAACAATCGCTTTCAAACTCAAAATTAAGATTCAATCCGAAATAAGTTGTCAAACTTCGAGTTACGTTAGTGAAATCAAGACCGGCAATATCCAAAATCGACTTTGTGACAATGACAAAAAAAAAAAAAAAAAATCCCGAGTTCTTCATGTTTTTCTAAAATTATAGCCTTTAGTCGAAATTAAGGTATTTGCCATCCAATTAACGTTAATTCAATTCTACTCGAGGATTCAATTCTACTCGAGTCAAAGAAAAGATTAAGTCGAAAATTTCACCAAAATACATAAAATTATTCTATTATAGATTAATCAGACTGACAAATAGAGATTCGTAAACCTCTATATTTCATGAAATATAAAATTTGCGTTACAATATGAATTTCTTCTAAAATTATACAAGTGTTTCTTAAATTTAGAAAGAATGAAATCCAAGCATATCTTTTTTATTTGCTAAATCGATAGGCTTCTCATAAAATTAAAACAGGGTACAAAGTACCAATACAGTACAAACACCAATAACACCGCGTGAGAATGGGAGACCTCAAAGAGGTCTAAATGCTAAAACTAGCAAAGGCAGCACATGGGCTGAAACCTAAGCTAGGCCAAATACAAGAACAGAACAAAACAGCAAATAAAGAACACACAACCTAAGCACACCTAGGCAAACAGCAAATACCATCAAAATAAAGGAATAAAAACTGGAGAAGCACTAGATCAGACTAAACTCTTGTCATTCCCTGACAGCCTGCCTAACCAAGCAGAGCTCAGGGAGCTTTTGACTCTGAAATACCCAAAGGTTGCGGGACTTCCACAACCACTAAAGTATATATGTTGAAAGTTGGATGCGGCTCTCGTCAATTTCCTTAGAGCTAAGGGAACAAATGGTCCAAGCATATCAATTCATCTGTTAGCCCATCATGTATTACATTTACACGATTTTTTGTCAATCAGTTTTGGAGGAATAGTATTGCCTCACACAAGTCACAATTAAAGGGAAATACTTTCATGACCTAATTTGGGCCTCACACTTTCATGACCTTGCAAGTCACACACAATTAAAGAGAAATACTTTCATAACCTAATTTTTGGGTCATTGGCTCATTGCCTAGCAAGTCATAATTAAAAAGATATACTTTTGTCCTAATTTTTTGTCCCATAGTTGGATCTTCAGATCTTGTGATTATATATCATCTATAAACAGTACATATATAGAAGAAACAAAGATTTAGTGCTCCCTTCAAATTGTCATAAAAACAAAAGAATATCAATCAGATTCTTTCTTGTGTTGGCTTTGCCCTGTGGACAAAATAAAAGGCATAATTTATTTTTTTTTATGTTTTTTTCTCTTTTTTTTTGCTGGCCATAAATGCAAGAACACACAAAGGATTCCCTGTGCAGAGAACCATGAGCTGGCATAAAATTGACTAGTGAAAAAACTGGGCCATAATTTCACAGATACTCTGTCCCTTTGGGAATAAAGCACTCCTAATCAGAAGCCAACATTAGCAAACACATAAAATCTCATACTTCGAAACCAAAAGTTGATAATCATCTCTTCCTTTGAAATAAATAAAGATCACACACTTTACACAGCTTAAGCCAAAAGAAAGCTGCAGTGTCACAATTACAATCAATGTGAGAATTACACATACCACACTATTTCAGAACTACAACTCAAATGTAATACTAAAAAGGAAAAAATAAAACACACACACACACACACACACTCACACAGAAGTGAATGAAAACACGGGGGAGCTGGATGCTACAAAATTCCAATTCTACCCACACCAACAGAAAGGATGACCCTTCCCCGACACACTAATATATAGTCGGGTCCATCTCTCACACTCACAATAAACACAAAGCATCCCTAAATCAATTTTCCCCATTTTTCCTCGACTATATATATGATTTAGGAGACGCACAAAAAAAAAAAGAAAAAAAAAAAAACGTAAATCGATAGCAAGATATTTATCCAAACCTTTTGCCCTTCATTTATGCAGTTTTATGCATTTACCCAAACCTTGGCACCGTCAACAGTGTGTTTACACGAGAAACTCCGTCCAAATCCTGTCCACATTCATTGTTTTTTGGCTCGTCGACTGAAATTTCTTCCTCATTGGCCTCTCGGACAGTTTCTGATCGGTTCAATCCACTTGGATCCGGAAGATCATCATTTTTGGCAGCATCGATTTGTTCAAGTGATGATATATTCTCATTAGTATTGGTTGTGAAGCAATCAGATTCGTTTGAGCCAAGAAAGAGGCAAACGGCTGCACAGTCGTCGACTTTTGAAGTTGGAAATTTGCTCCTCCAAGCCCTAGCAGCTGACTCGACTAGCGTTCGAGCGGCATTCGAGTGTGTGGGGCAAGAACCCACGATTTTCACCACTTCCTCGTTCGACAACACATCCCAAATCTGCAAAATATATTTTTTACATTAAGATCACAAATTTACCCAACTATATCTTATGGGGAGTTTTTACATTTAAGATCACAAAAATACCCCATCGGTTGCTAAAACAACGAACTCATCTTCATCCGTGATGCGCCTGTATGAGATTTCTGGCACAGATATGAGGCCAAAGTCCTTGAGACAGAAGTCACCTAATGCACGGGCCATAGCAAGGCCCGGGGAGTTAAGGTTCGGCAGCCACACTCTTGCAACGTCAGGCTCGTCTTTAAGGGCAAAAACACGTCCTTTACACTTGCGAATCCTCTCTTCTTCAGCTGTAATATTAAGAAAGCAGAGATGTGGATAAATAAAGGGATAGTGTTTTTAATAGCAAGGAATATCTTGGTTTGGATCATCTTTTGGGGCATTTAAATTGTTTGATTCCCATCCCATTTAAAAACAAAAGTTAATTTCATAAAATAAAGTAAAACTAGAGAGGGAAAGAAAATTACCTGGAAGGTTAGGTTTAAGGTCCACAGTCAATTGGACAGCAGTTAGTAGATTATTTTGACCTCTTGTACCCAATACAGCTCTTGAGTCCCCAACATTTCCTATTACAATATCTTGACCCTGCAGAAGATAATCGGATTAAGTCTTGTATCTTATCAAGTATAACACAATTAAGTGCATATCACTGAAACAACCCTTGAGCTTTAGTCTGTTCACAAAATAAATCAGTACTCTTTCAGAATTTTAGGTACACACTTACTTGTACATGCTTTACAAATATCCCCTATTAACGATGCAAATTGTATGCTATAATCAAATATCAGCAAGGCACGAGTAATTTAAAAGAGAGCACAGTTTTTACTACCACGCGGAACCACAGGGCTGTTTTTGTAATTGATCCTTAAACTTAGTGCATTATTACCTGTTTAACCAAGGTTACTGCTGTTGTTCCACTGCAAAAGCAGTCGATATTCGAATACATTCTCAACTCCTTGTCCATAACCTTAAAGGCCTTCAGGAAAGAATCTCTCAGTGTCTCAACGACCTCTGATCGCTTATCGTCAATATCATCAATGGAAGCCCTAGCTTCCTCATCAACAGACACAAAGGAAGTATCATCTGTGCGCAAGCTTTCCACAGTGCTTAAACTGGAAGCCCTAAGAATCTCGTCACTTTTTAGATCAACTCCCAAGTTTGCACTCAGCTTCAGAGGAAGAGAATCTCTAACTTGTTTTGCGACCATATGACCATATGGACCATGGCCGTCAAAAACACCACAGAAAACAGTGTCTGTTCTCGAACCAAAGTTCTGCATTATCATGTTTCTCAAGAAGTGAGTTAATGCAGTTTTTTGTTATCAATGAAGATAAAATAGGTAGGTTGCAGAAATTGTTCAACAAAACAGGTTCCAAGCATTCAGATATTGGGAAATCATAATCCACAAAAGATTTAACGAATTGTATAAAATTTAAGCTGAACTATTTTAAGCAGAAAATTTGTCCCTGGATACAGCAAATCAGACTACCGAGTGAAAAATATGTCATATCCAAAGGAATTTTGCATCATAACAAATGGTGCCTGGGATAAAAAAGGTAATCTTAACTAAATGCAAAACCTTGTAAAATCACAAACTCAAAAGCGTTCAAATCTCATATTCATACAAAGACTTGCTCAAGGTATTCCACAATAATTTAATATTTTGTACCAGCAAATCAGATGTAAAAGATAAGTATCATTATAGAAATGTTAAAAAGCAGTCCGGATTGCAAAAGGGTCCTAGAGTACCACTATAGTAAACTCATTCCAAACTCTTTTTCTTCTTTTTTTTTTTTTTTTCTTCTGTTTTTTCTCCTTGCACACATAGATTGAATTATCCCTACTTGTATAAAAGCAGTAGAAGAGAGGTCTAACCTCCCATACAATCATGGCATCTTGATTGATCCCTTTCTTGCCTTGCTTAGTGAAAAGCGAAGCAATCTCGCTTGAACCATTCAAGAACATCCTTCCAGAAATCCGGTGCAATTGTTCTTCCTTCCTAGAGTCAAAGGAAGAATCTCGAGAGACGCCCCTCCTTTTTGAACCCCTTTTCTTCCTAGCACCCACAGGGGAACTAGGTAGGGGGCTCCTGCTTTCACTTGAAAAGCAGGACCCCATTGGAAGGGCCCTTATTATATTCAGTACGCACTCGAGGCCCTCGGGCAAATCACACCAATTAGTAGTCTCCGTAATTGGATCCGTTAGAAAAATCTCCAAATTTGTAATTTTTCTTGAGATTTTGCTGACCCAAATGTCCTAAAATTTCCCACTCAACGAGAATCCATCGACTGGTAACTAGGAATGAAGCGCATCAAGACTCCTCAAAAGGTTTTTGGACCTTTTAAACAAATGAGCAATCAAGATTTGCAATACTTTCACCTAAAACTCGAGACTTTCCATCTGAGCAAATTCACACTATTGATCACAACATGCGCATAAAAGATAAGATCCAGACCTGTAAAAGAGAAATGAACGAGACAGTGAACACTAGCCTTATCCTTAAAAAGCCCCTTGTACAAAAAACAAATAAATAAATAATAAGAAAAATGATCACAGCTGATAAAACTCAATATGCCTTTATCCTTTATTACTCCTTTTGAATTATAAAATTAGTAGGCGAAAAAAAAAAAAGCTAAAAAGGTGGAGCACTACGTAGGATTTTGGGGGAGACCGTAGATCTACGAAAAAATCTATGATGCCGCCCTTCAACAAATTCTACTGGGAAAAAAGAAAGACACAATTGCAGAGTGAGAGAACCAAAATAGGATGAAAATGAAGCAAACAGAGAAGATCAATCAACAAGTTCAGAAACCCAATTAGGACAAGCCACCCGCAGCCAGAATCCCCGATCAATTTCCAACAAATGGACCAAAAAGGTTGAATCTTGGAGCTAACAGACAAGAACCCAGAAGCTTGGTAACTTGTGTAAGTTTCAATATACAGAAAGTAAGTACTGGAGATGGAGAAACAAAAGGCTGAAAATGAATGAAGCACCAGACAGGTAGCAATCAATAATAAATGAACCGGTAAACAAACTTTAACAGTGGGAAACTTGGGATCACCATAAAAAGGGCCGCTCGAATTTGAACAACAAGCAGTGTGTGTGTGTGGGGGAAAGGGGTTGGTCAGAATGTGTGAACTGAGAAACCTCCCTCCCAGGCCGTGCCTATAAATTGAACAAACAGTTGGTGGGCGTACACTGATACACAGCTAACATCTTGTGGGGTTGAATTGTATAAAACAAATAAAAATTATTACACATGGATAATATATATATACACATACATAGTATGTGGGTAATTAATTAATTAATGGTAATGGATAACGATAAAGCAAAGCATACCGCTTTTGATTTTATTTTCTGTCTGTACAGATACAGGATTTGCCTAATTTTCTTCTTTCTTCTAGCTTGGTGTTATCCAACCTGGATTAACCATGGCCCCTCATCAGTTGATGCACGATTATCACGGCTAAACATATTCTAGTTTGTTGCCTAGTGGAACAGGGGACCTCGTTAAGGGTGGATCTGTAGTTGGCCTCACCTGGAATTTTGATTTTTTTTTTTTTTTTTAACTAGTTGTGTAGCAAACCTTTCTTATATGGGTGCTTTGAGCATAATAAATTCATGGTATAGTTTGAAGAAAATAAAATCATCAAATTTAGAGTGTATTTGGTTAATTAACCAAATGTAGATAAGATAAATGATAGATGAATTTAAAAAATAAAAATAAAAAAAAAAAAGATCATAACATATTTTTTCTAGTGAAATAAAAATAAAAAAAAAGTAACTAATTAATTAAAAGGAAATATCATATTGACATGGCAATGCCATACTAAAACAACCCAACAAAAGTTTTATATTCTTTAAGTTGGTATTTTCTTTCTTATAGCTTTATGCTCTGAATCTTATTCCTGACTTAGTCCAATCATTTTTTTAACTTCAATTCAATACAAAGGGTAGGGTGTTCGAAAAAGTCTAAGCAGTTATATTAGATTTATATTATAAATGTAATTAAATAGAACAAAGCCATGTTTAATCTAATACAATAAAATCAACAAGTTTTGAGCCTTTCTCATTTGATGAACAACTAAAGTTAATGAGCCAACAGGCAGGCGTGATTGACTTGAATATAACTCACAAAGTCAGTCACAATCCATAATTAATACCTAACATATGTAGAAATTGCTATAATATAGTATATATGTTTTAAATAATTGTATAGCATTGCCAGTAAATACATAGTTAAATCAGATGATCCGTGGTGGGAATTGGTTAGGATGACCCCCTGCAGAAAAGAAATTGGGTAAATGACCCTTGACCAAATTTTTGCAGTAAAATTTAATTAGATATCATATCAAATAGAAAGTTACTAATATGCCCTTAAAAAAACATACCTTATTTTTCCTCTTCTCCTTCTACGCAAAGCACCTCTCTCCATTCTCTGAAATTTCCGCTCCCGCAACGGCTACAGCTCTCTCTCTCTCTCTCTCTCTCTCTCTCGTTTTCTTCTTCTTCGTCGACCTCACCCTCAGTTCTATCTGTCCTTTTCTAACTGAAAAAAAAAAACTCTACGCCCACATTCTCTCAATCTGCTCCTCTCTCGCGACATCTCTCTCGACCTTCGCTCTCTTTTTTGCTTCTAGCTCTCGACCTTCACGATTGTACAACGTTATAATTAAAAAAAAAAAAAAAACCTCACTGTCGCCGGCACGACGTCCGTCGCGGCCGCGACATCCTGCCAAGTTCTCTGTCCGAGAAGGAACAGGCCTAGTTCTCTGCCAAGTTCACGGTTGGTTAAGGTGCATTTGTTTCGACGCTCTAACACCTTCAAACTATCATTCCAATGTCATGTAACATTAACATTCAATCTTTATCAAGTAATTCGAAAAAAAAAACATACAAAAAGCGCGTTTTGGACGAATAACAACTATAACGACTGTACATTCGTTTTTCCATTGAAATCACGAATGTACATTCGTTATTGTTGTTTTTCGTAACAAATGCACCTTAACCGACCGTGCACTCATCAAATAACACAATATGAAGATGTTAAACTCGTTATGGGTCTCATTTTTGTCATTTTTAAGTTCAAATGTCCCGATATTAAAGCGCGGAACCTTTTATTCATGTTAAAAAAATTAAATAAAAAAAATAAATGGTGTCGCGCACGCGACCCTTTGGCGCGCTAGCGACGTCTTGGGAGTGGTTCTGACCCCTTAAGTGTCGCGCTCACGATAGGCGTAGCGCCCGCGACGTCCTAGCACTGGTTCTGTCCCGGTAAGTGTCGCTCCCGCGACATCCGTCGCGCCCGCGACGGCCTGGCAGTTTTTTTTTTTTTTTTT